GAATTGTAAATTCAACTTGGTTGCCCTAATGATAATGTCCATAAAGTGCTTCCAGTATTCTGAAGTCAGTGCCAAATATTTTACTTATATATATGTAATATATGCAGTGCTGCTTAGTCACTTCAGTCATGTCCAACTCTATGGAATATAGCCTGCTAGGTTCCTCTGTCAGTGGGATTTTCCAAGCAAGATTACTGGAGTGAGTTGCCACTTCCTTCTCTCTCTGTATATATAAAATATATGATAATATTTTAAACATATAACTCTAGAGCTTTGCACATATTTTATATATATACACATATATAATTTTTACTTACACATATTTTTTCCCAACTACTATGTGAGTGTTTTAATGCCCATTTTACAGATGAATTTGTAACCATTATGCATCACAACATATAATAATAATTTAAATATACTATATCCATAGTGTTTTTATTTAAAATACACAAGTCTGCAGCTTCACACATATTTCATATATATGTATATACATATGCACATATATGTGTATATATATATATATATATATGGAGCTTCCAGGTGGCCCTAGTAGTAAAGAACCCGCCTGCCAATGCAGAAGACATAAGAGACTGGGTCAGGACCATCCCCTGGAGGAGGGCATGGCAACCTACTGCAGTATTCTTGCTTGGAGAATCTCATAGACAGAGGAGCCTGGCAGGCTATATAGTCCATAGGGTTGCAAAGAGTCAGACATGACTGAACACACACACACACACACACACATTTTCTTTTGTTCATTCAACAGATACTTATTTATTGAATATCTATGTGCCAGGCTGCCGTGCTAAGCTCATGGGGAGGGTGGAACGAGGCGGTACCAACCCCCCACCTCTTGCCTTTAAGAAACTCAACAGTGTTCTGGGAGTGATGAACTTGCCTAAGACACAAGTACAAGAAAATATAATAATTGCTTTAACAGGAGTAGGTACAAGGTGTTATTGGGCATGAATTTGAGCAAACTCTGGGAGACAGTGGAGGACAGAGGATTCAGCAAATTTTTAGTAAATGCCTATAATGTATGCAGCATTGTGTTGAAATAGGATAAAAGCATGGGCAAGAACTTACACAGTTGTGTCTTCCTGGAACTTACTAATTGTTTAGGGAAACAACCATTCATCAATGAATTTAACAGCTTACTAAATTAGTAAAAATTAATTTAATTAAATTAATTAAAAATTTAAAAAGTAAAATGACAAATGTAATCAGTGTAACCAAGGAGAGAGTGATTCTGTAAAGTATGTAGCAAGGGCTACTGGTACTGATCCCTGATCCTGGGAAAGATTGAAGGCAAAAGGAGAAGGGGGTGGCAGTGGATGAGATGGTTAGATGGCATGACCAACTCAATGGACATGAATCTGAGCAAATTCTGGGAGATAGTGGAGGATAGAGGAGACTGGTGTGCTACGGTGCCTGGGGTCTCAAAGAGTCAGGATGACTTAGCAACTAAACAATAACAAGGGGGTAGTGAGCTGGCCGAGGAGGTGAGGAAAGGCACCCCTGAGGAGAAAAGGACTGAGCCAAAGGAGGGAAGAGCACATGGTTATTTGGTGAAGAATATGTGTGATTTGAGGGGACGTCTCAGCAAGGAAGAGGACATGTGCAAAGACCCTGAGGTCTAGGAGAGCAAGGTACTTCCCAGGAATTAAAAGTAAGCCAGGAAAGCTGCATGTAGGCTGGAAAATAATGCAAGGGCTGGACCACCCTGGGCCCTGGGGGCCATGGTCAGAATCCAAGCTCAGTAGAAAGCCATTGCCATGCTTTAGGCAGGCTCTGAGGATGGGCTGTAGGGTGGTGGGGTGGGAGCAAGGAGACCACCTGAGAGGCCAGATGAATCGTGATGGTGGGCAGCCTGGAGTAGAGGTGGTGGTCAGGGGAGAAGGGGAGGGTGGCAGATTCAATGACTGGATGGTTGGATATGGGGTATAGTTTGAAAAAGGAAGATGTTAACGTTCCGCCGGTACCATTGCTAAGGAAACACAGGAGAGGGCAGAATCCGCTCTGCTTGGATCTCCAGAAGACGTCAGGGAAGAATGAAGAAGTCATCAAAAGGGATTGAGATTGGAGGTTGGCCTTGAAGAATGAGTAGGCATTTTCTAATTGGCAAGAGGGAAAAGGTATGATAGTCCGAGGGCGGGGCATGTGCAAAGGCCCAGGGGCATAACTAGAATAGCACAAGCAAGTAACTGCAAATGTTCATAGGTACGAAAGGGAAATTAATATGACCCGTAAATAACTGTGTTGGTTTTTTGATACGCTCGTCTCTATTTTGTGCACAGTCATCGTAAGACCTGTAGTAGGTAGAATTTGTACATAGGTTAAAATGTTTAAATGTTTTATTTTTATTCCATAGGCATAATGTACAGAAATTCCTGTCTTTATTTCCATATTTTAAATGAGGAATTCACATATGGCTCTTGATTTTATTATCTGCCTTCTTTCTAATCAAATTTAGTCATCTAGTCATTTGGGTAGAACTTAAGAGTTTAGGTTTTTCCTTAATGTTTTGGCATCTGGATTAGGGATTGATTGACATTTTAAATTTATTGAAATAACTATGAATTTACTTCTGATGGAAATAGGAACATGTTGATTTTGATTTTGCTTGGAAACTAAAATCAAAGGACAATCCAATCCAAAAAGAGTTAGTAATGCTAAAACTTAGGTGACATATCAACTCTGGGGAAAAATAAGGTGATGTTGAATTAATGCTTGACGTGTTTATAGTAAGAGTGTTGATAGTCAGATCAGTTTTGGAGAAATCTATAGCACTGAAATTATGAGCATGGCTTGTGTGAAAAATAGTGGCTTAAAATACTGCCTTTCTCATCTGTTAGCCATACAAATGCCCTGTTTTCTTGTCAATAACAGGTAATAACGATTTTTCACTACTTCACAGGGTGTGGTGAAGTGGCGTGCCAGGAATATAGTCAGTGTTCAATAAATGTCCATGATGACTTTGATGATCACTGATTCCAGGCTTCACCTGAGTCATCAACAGAGAGGCACTGTTGAGTTTTGAAAGTGAAAGTCAGGCTGCTATGTAAATACATATATTGAACTTGCTTACCTCTGTGGTTAGAAAAAAAATCTCGGAGAGCATCAGATTCAGTAATGTTTATGACATTTTCTGCAGAAGAATTGTTTCTCATTTCTCTGAAGTTTTGAGATCAATAGGCAGAGAAGGAGGGGAAGGAAAAGAGTGTTTTGATGGCGTTGTTCCTAAGGTCAGGAGATGCGGTGGGAAGCAGTCTCAACCCTCTCAACCCCGGAGATGAGGACCTGCCATGGGTTTGCTTGCTGAGCTTTTGGCATTCTGAATTAAGAACTGTGGGGTGTGTGTGTGTGTGTGTGAAAGAGAGAGGGCGAGAGAGATTATGCAAATATGTTTCTCTTTTCTGAGAATTCAGCTCATGTGAATGAAGACCGCAGAAAACGGCCTAACTCAGTGGGAATGTTGTTTTTATAATTACAGGTCTAGGCTTTTCACATTGACTTTCTCTACTGCCTGCCCTTCTGCTCAAGCAAATTCTGTCTGAGAAGATCTGATGGGAAGGAACTGACTGCTTAGAATTCTCCATTGTGATGAAAGCACATGGTACAGGTAAATATCTCTGACATCTTTAACCAAAAATAGCTCTCATTTAATTGTAAAAGATCCAAGGGAGTCGTGGGCATGTTTACATACCTATTCCCGTGCACACTCACACACACACACACACAAAATATAAACATACATCTGTAGATTCATGTATTCTCTACCTCTATATTCTTTCCATCTCTTTATAAAAATGGAACTCTTGCTTTTTTGTGGGAAAGAAATTAACTTCTACTTATTTTGAGATCATCGACTAGGATGATGACGAGCCATTAATAAGAAACGGGATAACTGGCAATTGTGTTTATAAATTCAGCTACAGAGACCATGTACTATCAGATGGTCTAAGGGAGCAATGCAATATATGCTGTTATATAATCTTTTTGATCCTTTTCACAGTGCAGTGATGCACATCTTTTCATAGCAAGTTATTTATCTATAATATGATTTTTGCAGTGATGCACATCTTTTCATAGCAAGTTATTTATCTATAATATGATTTTAGTGGTTATACAGTATACCATTGAATATGTATCCTAAAGTAATTTAATTGATCCCCTCTAGTGGGACATTTATTTCTCTTTTTTTTTTTGGTCTTTATGCTACCAAGAATGTTCTTATGGCTTTATGTTAGTTGCCATTATTGATGGTTTCCTTGGGATAGTTCCTTAGGGGTAAATTTCTGAATTTAAGCATTTTCAAGTTTTAAGACTCTTGACACTTGTTGCCAAATTACTTTCCAATAAAGTCATACCAGTTTATATTTCCAGAGGTGCAGTGTAGGAGAGACCTACTTCCATAAAATTTTGCTAGTGCCCAGAATTTTGAAAAAAGGAAGAATATTTGCCAGTTGATTATGAGAACCGGTGTCTTTCCACATGCTGGGTTATTTTGGGTGGGGTGGGCGTGGGGCAGTGCATTATTTGTAAATCATACCATTTTGAAGGATCGTTCTCTGTAGATAGTAACATGTTTGAAACTTAACGAACAGTTGACATTTGAGAAATAAGACTAAATCAAGAAGCATGAAATCATTTGAGTAATTCCAAAAGAGTAATGCTATGAGAAAATGGTCATGATCAAAGTAAAAAAAAATAAAAAGGCAAAGTATGAGAGTAACCGTAGTGTAATCCCATTCCTGTAAAATTGGTTTTTTTCCTTCTTCCTCTATTGTTTCATCCTCCTCTGGGATGCAGAAAGGGTATAGTATATTTCCGATGAGAAGGAGGGGAAGGAAAAGAGTGTTTTGATGGCGTTGTTCCTAAGGTCAGGAGATGCGGTGGGAAGCAATCTCAACCCTCTCAACCCCGGAGATGAGGACCTGCCATGGGTTTGCTTGCTGAGCTTTTGGCATTCTGAATTAAGAACTGTGGGGTGTGTGTGTGTGTGTGTGAAAGAGAGAGGGCGAGAGAGATTATGCAAATATGTTTCTCTTTTCTGAGAATTCAGCTCATGTGAATGAAGACCGCAGAAAACGGCCTAACTCAGTGGGAATGTTGTTTTTATAATTACAGGTCTAGGCTTTTCACATTGACTTTCTCTACTGCCTGCCCTTCTGCTCAAGCAAATTCTGTCTGAGAAGATCTGATGGGAAGGAACTGACTGCTTAGAATTCTCCATTGTGATGAAAGCACATGGTACAGGTAAATATCTCTGACATCTTTAACCAAAAATAGCTCTCATTTAATTGTAAAAGATCCAAGGGAGTCGTGGGCATGTTTACATACCTATTCCCGTGCACACTCACACACACACACACACAAAATATAAACATACATCTGTAGATTCATGTATTCTCTACCTCTATATTCTTTCCATCTCTTTATAAAAATGGAACTCTTGCTTTTTTGTGGGAAAGAAATTAACTTCTACTTATTTTGAGATCATCGACTAGGATGATGACGAGCCATTAATAAGAAACGGGATAACTGGCAATTGTGTTTATAAATTCAGCTACAGAGACCATGTACTATCAGATGGTCTAAGGGAGCAATGCAATATATGCTGTTATATAATCTTTTTGATCCTTTTCACAGTGCAGTGATGCACATCTTTTCATAGCAAGTTATTTATCTATAATATGATTTTTGCAGTGATGCACATCTTTTCATAGCAAGTTATTTATCTATAATATGATTTTAGTGGTTATACAGTATACCATTGAATATGTATCCTAAAGTAATTTAATTGATCCCCTCTAGTGGGACATTTATTTCTCTTTTTTTTTTTGGTCTTTATGCTACCAAGAATGTTCTTATGGCTTTATGTTAGTTGCCATTATTGATGGTTTCCTTGGGATAGTTCCTTAGGGGTAAATTTCTGAATTTAAGCATTTTCAAGTTTTAAGACTCTTGACACTTGTTGCCAAATTACTTTCCAATAAAGTCATACCAGTTTATATTTCCAGAGGTGCAGTGTAGGAGAGACCTACTTCCATAAAATTTTGCTAGTGCCCAGAATTTTGAAAAAAGGAAGAATATTTGCCAGTTGATTATGAGAACCGGTGTCTTTCCACATGCTGGGTTATTTTGGGTGGGGTGGGCGTGGGGCAGTGCATTATTTGTAAATCATACCATTTTGAAGGATCGTTCTCTGTAGATAGTAACATGTTTGAAACTTAACGAACAGTTGACATTTGAGAAATAAGACTAAATCAAGAAGCATGAAATCATTTGAGTAATTCCAAAAGAGTAATGCTATGAGAAAATGGTCATGATCAAAGTAAAAAAAAATAAAAAGGCAAAGTATGAGAGTAACCGTAGTGTAATCCCATTCCTGTAAAATTGGTTTTTTTCCTTCTTCCTCTATTGTTTCATCCTCCTCTGGGATGCAGAAAGGGTATAGTATATTTCCGATTGGTCTTAGTTAGAATTCATGGAGTAATCCTAGTTCTGGAGAAACTGGCTGACTGAAGTCTTCATGTCAGACTGCCACTTCCCACAAAGCTCTGAAGTCTCAGAGCTGCTACGACACCCGGCCAGTGGGTCCCTGGAGCAGCCCTATGTGCGAGCAGGGCCTCGAACCCCGCTCCCTGGGCTGCCTTGCTCCTGAGATACAGCGAGGACCTTGGGTCAGGCCAGCTTTCTGGCCTCTTGGAGCTGCACCGAATCCCCAACCATTCAGCTCCACATATGCAAGCTGCCGTGCTACGCTCATCTTATTCCCTCAGTGGTGTTAAATAAGCTTCCTTTCACTTAAAAAAAAAAAAAAATGCAAGAGAAGGTAAATCAGAGACCTTCTTAGGAAGGAAGAAGGTCTTAGAAAATGTATACTTCTTAGGAAATATATACTTTATCCTTCATAAGCGCGTATGAGAAAACTGTGGAGGTGCGAATCCCTCAGCCTCTGAGCCACAGCACAGGGCTGAAACGAAGAAGGGAAAAAGAGGCAGAGTGAGATCTGGCATTAAGGACTCAAACCCACGGCGACTGGTCTGGCTTCAGGAAAGCTAATGCTTTTCACCGGAGACTCCACAAGTCCTGTGTATGTACATTTGTTTTGGCCCAGGTTTCCAGTCTCATTTGCACAGCTCTGTATTTTTCAGTAAAGAGAGGAACATCTGAATTCCTAATTAAGACAGTTTAGCTTAAGAACTCCTCTTTAGTGGGCCATAAATTATTCTCCTCCAAATGATTATGAGGACGCCTAAGAAAACGAAACTTGTATTTATGCACGTACATATGTTATCCCAACAAAATTAATAAGTTCATAAAGGGAGAGGGTACAACAAATGTGTCAGCAAATATAGGTCGGGGAAGGAGTGCATCGTGTTCTGCCAGACTCCAGCGAGTGGAGGTAGCACGGCCATGCATCTCGGCGGCGGCCATATGGGAGGTTTGGTATTTGGACAGCATTCAATTCCTCCCCAATTGCAGAAGCAACAGGGACTCAGACAGAGAGGAAGAAAGGATGCTCTTGCTGTGCCTTGCTGGCTGATGTGCAGAAACGCAGGCACGTTGATTATTAGGGGCTTACGGATGAATTTCTCTAGGGAGACAGAAGAGTGGGAATATTTAACCACGTTTCACAGCAGCTTGGGTTGCCTCCATAACCAAACCGTTTTTGCAGTCGTGTGAGACACTTCCCTGCAAGGCCAGGACAAATCATTGTTGAAAACTCAATGCATAGAGTCCCCTAGGGCCTCTGGGGGTGCCTTCAGACTTCACCAGTGCAGAGCAAGAGTGCAAGTTTTGAACTGAAAGCAATTTGAAATGATGTCTTTCAATCCTGGTCTCATTTAGTCATTCATCCCTCATGTATTCATTCAAATACCTTTTTGCGGGCTACTGGGTGGTGGCGCTAGTGGGAAAGAACCTGCTTGCCAATGCAGGAGATGCAAGAGCAGTGGGTTCCATCCCTGGGTTGGGAAGATCCCCTGGAGGAGGATATGGCGCTCCACTCCAGTATTCCTGCCTGGAAATCTCCATGCACAGAGGAGCCTGGCAGGCTACAGTCCGTGAGGCCGCAAAGAGTTGGACATGGCTGAGTGACAGCACGCGCATGCACACGCACACGGGTACTAGTAGAGTTCTAAGCACTGGAGATATGGAATGGAAGAATGTGGGCACAGGGCCTGCCCTGATGGAGCTTACAAATCTAAGGGAGATACTGTTGATGGCATCTGAACCTGGTTTGGGTTAAGAGGGGAGATGATCTGGACCATTCAAAAGGAGGCTTGGACCAGTTGCTAGTTGCTAATACCAGTGAAATAAATTCTTCCAAAGGAGAATCATTTAAGAGTTCTTTGGACTTCATCTTCAAAAGTAGCCAAAGAATTCAAGTGACAGGTTGTGCCAGAAAACCTTCTGCAGTTAGTGAAGTTAGGGTATAATGGATAATATTGGGAATACCACACATACAGTTTAGGTGATGTTGGTATAGTGGTGAGGCAACAGTGGTTGTAAAATGAAAGTAATTAACAGGTGCACACTCTGTTGGGGCAACAGGTGTTCAACCTAGAAAAATGTTTCTTAATGGATTTCTTATGATGTCGCTGTGTCTTGGGTTTAACTTTGAAACAAATTAAAAAATTGAAAAAAGAAAAGGTTTAGAGTGCATCTGAAATGAGAGACTGGAGAAACCAGTGGAGAAAGACCTGTTGATCTGGAAGGCAGAGGCAAAAAGAGCCAGAGGATAAGGACCAGCAGTGAGGCTGTGACTATTGACGGCAGGACCAGATTGGGAAATGCAGAGAGAAGACAAGTGTCAAACTTGGCTGGATGCCCAGTTGTCAGGGTCTGTAAAAATCTTGTGGCCATTGATCTCTCAGTTTCAGTTCACTTCAGTTGCTCAGTTGTGTCTGACTCTTTGTGACCCCGTAGACTGCAGCACACAAGGCTTCCCTGTCTATCACCAACTCACGGAGTTTGCTCAAACTCATGTCCATTGAGTCGGTGATGCCATCCAACCATCTCGTCTCCTGTCGTCCCCTTCTCCTCCTGCCTTCAATCTTTCCCAGCATCAGGGTTTTTTCAAATGAGTCAGTTCTTCGCCTCAGGTGGCCAAATGTTGAAGCTCCAGCATCAGTCCTTCCAGTGAATATTCAGGACTGATTTCCTTTAGGATGAACTGGTTCCATCTCCTTGCAGTTCAAGGGACTCTCAAGTGTCTTTTCCAACACCACAGTTCAAAAGCATCAATTCTTCAGCGCTCAGCTTTCTTTATAGTCCAACTCTCACATCCATACATGACTACTGGAAAAACCATTGCTTTGATGAGATGGACTTTTGCTGGCAAAAAAGTCTCTCAGTGTAGGTAACAGAAGCAATTGTTTAGTCACACAGTCGTGTCTGACTCTGTGCAGCCCCATGGACTGCAGCACACCAGGCCTCCCTGTCCCTCACCATCTCCTGAAGTTTGCCCAAGTTCATGTTCATTACATCGGTGATGCCTTCCACCCATCTCATCCTCTGATGCCCTCTTCTCCTTCTGCCCTCAATCTTTTCCAGCATCAGGGACTTTTCCAGTGAGTCATCTGTTCATATCAGGTGACCAAAATACTGAAGCTCCAGCATCAGTTCTTCCAGTGAATATTCAGGGTTTATCTCCCTTAAAATTGATTGGTTTTATCTCCTTGCTGTCCAAGGGACTTTCAGGAGTCTTCTCCATCAACACAGTTTGAAGGCATCAAGTTCTTTGATGTGTTTCTGCCTTCTTTACAGTCCAGCTCTTACAACCTGTGAGTGACCACTGGGAAGACCATAGCCTTGATTATATGGACCTTTGCCTGCAGAGTAATGTCTCTCCTTTTCAACACACTGTTTAGGTTTGTCATTGCTTTAGAAGTAGTGCACACTGTCAATAATCTGTATTTTAACAAATGGTGCAATGGGTACATTTTACTTTATGACTATATAAACACAGTAGACAGAAGAGTGGATGGCTCACAGTGCAGGGTGGTATTTCTTTTTTTCAACTGCCACTCAGAGGAAGAACTGAGGTGGCATTGTCCCAGAACACATTGACCTTACTCTAACTTTGACTAATTATTTCCCTGTTCCCACCTTATCCAGCATCCTTAGAGAGGGAGACAGATGATATAATTAATTTTCCCTTCTGTGGGCAAGAGCCATTAGTTTTAGTTAGCTTTACACAGGTTCAAGTTCTGGATCCAAAGAGTCTCCAGTTGTCACCTCTTGGCCTC